GGAAATCAATTGTGATGGGAAGGAAACTGGGATTCAAATCAATGGTGTGGACCAGAAGGAAGAAAACAACATTCAATCAGAAAATAGGGAAGAAATAAGAATTCAAAGAAAAGGAGAGGCTTAGGAACCTCCAGGACCATTTAGCCATTCCAACATCTGAATTATAGGGGCACCAGAAGGAGAGGAGGAAGAGCAACAAGTGGAAAAGTTATTTGAACAAATACTGAAGGAGAACTTCCCCAGTCTGGCAAAGGAAATAGACTTCTAATAAGTCCAGGAAGCTCAGAGAGTCCCAAAGAAGTTGGACCCAAGGAGGAACACATCAAGGCACATTATAGTTACATTAGTCAAGATAAAAATGAAGGAGAGAATCCTAGAAGCAGCAAGAGAAAAGGAGACAGTTTACCTGCAAAGGAGTTCCCATAAGACTGTTAGCTGATTTCTCAAAAGAAACCTTACAGGCAAGAAGGGGTTGAAAAGAAGTATTCCAAGTTATGAAAGGCAAGGACTTACATCCAACATTGCTCTATCCAGCAAAGCTTTCATTTAGAATGGAAGGGCAGATAAAGTGCTTCTCAGATAAGGTCAAGTTAAAGGAGTTCATCATCACCCAGCACTTACTATATGAAATGTTAAAGAGACTTATCCAAGAAAAAGAAGTTAAAAAATATGTACAGTAAAATGACAGCAAACTCACAATTATTAACACCCATGTCTAAAAAAAACAAAAACAAAAACAAACTAAGCAAATAACTAGAACAGGAACAGAATCACAGAAATGGAGATCACGTGGAGGGTTATCAACAGGGGAGTGGGAAGGGCAGAAAGGGGGAAAAGGTACAGACAATAAGTAGCATAGATGGTAGGTAGAAAATAGACAGGGAGAGGGTAAGAATAGTATGGGAAAGGTAGAAGCCAAAGAACTTATATGTATGACAAATGGACATGAACTAAAGGGGGGGAATGTGGGTGGGAAGGGGTGTGCAGTGTGGAGGAGAGTGAAGGGGGGGAAAATGGGACAACTGTAATAGCATGATCAATAAAATATATTTAAAAATAAAAAAGAATGCATAGTTTTTTAAATGAATACATGTCTTTCTTTCTCAATAAAGCTCTGTTATTTGAAGACAAGAAAAGTTATTCCTAGATTTGTACTTTTTGTTTCCAAGTATGGGTTATAGAGGAACATTTTTATAAGTATTTACCAGCTACCTTACTATTATCAGTGGAATGCACACAGGCATTAGATGAATGGATAATGTACAGATAGCTTTAGACAAATCTCCCTGCCTTGTCTTCATGTTTTGACTGAATGAAACATTACTGACCACAACCTTCTTAATTAAAAATGTTATTGCTTTTCATGTTACAGATAAACCAATGTAATGAAAGAATTTTAATATCCTTATTCTTCTTCCCATGGTCAGTGGTAGGTCACTTTTAATATCTCTTATATTTTTCATAAAGATGTCTATCTTTGGTGACTGGTATGGTGAGATGGTCACTCTTGGGTGAGTTTTGGCTGTTAGTTATTAGCAAATCTGTTTTGATAAGGAAATTTGACATATTAAATCAGATTTATAACATTTGAACAAGAAAGGCCAGTATAGTAGTCTGACACCTCAATGGCTCTTATTATTTCCCTCACTGTAACCACTAGCTCTGGTCCAGTGAAAGCAAGGTGACTGTTGATTGGTCCATTTCCTCCAAGGCTGGTGGAGAGAGAGGGATGCATGGCTTCTGTTTGATTGCTTTATCTTTTTAAAACAAGTTAGAAAGAAGAGAGAGGGTGAAATTACTGTAGACTTGACTGCTTTATCACATGTAGGTGAAAATTTATTTATAAAAAAAAAAAAGAAATCCTTTAGCCAGAGGTGCAGAGTCAGTACATACTTAGACACACTCAAGTTTTAAACCTTCATCATGGTATTGGTTTCCTCTCTTATTTCTGGTCAATTTATTATGAACATTATCACTTTCTCTTCACTCTCTAAAACCAGAGTGTGTGCTGACCATCTCCCTATTTCTTGCATTCCTAGGGTGGTGCTAATGTTCCAAGTTGTGTAGTTTCTCCCACTCCTTCAGAGCAGGACCATTTCTGAGCCCGTGAAACTAGCCAAGACATCCCCAGTACCTTGTGAGCGGGATCCTGATGTTGTCTGTCTGTGCTGTGGGTAGTAGGACTCTTACCCCTTTAATGAGCCCTGGGAGCCCTGGCTCCTCTTCTCCCAGTTGCTCAGTTGGGCAGCACAGGCCAGTATGTGGATGGGGAAGAATGAGGCCAGAGTCTTTTGGCAGACTCCCCAAAGTTGGGAGAGCCAAGTGCTCACTCAGCTGCTCTCACTTTTGCCTGTGGGAAAAAACCAAAGGACTAGAAGATTTCTATTGTCACTGAGCTACATCACATAGGGCAAGGTTTGACTAATGTAAAGTGAAATTGTTCCTCTTATCCTTTAAAATGCTACCAATCTCAGATATTTTTGTTCCTGCAGTGTAACTTCTGAGCTGGATTCCTCGAGTTCTCTAAAAGTACTCTAGTATATGATGGAGAAAGTTGGTATTTTTGTGGGGGAGAGGATGAAGATGCCAGAAAATTTCTATATTGCCATTTTAATTTCTATTTTCTTTTATTTTTAAAAAGATTTTTTTCATTGATTAGTCTTATTAATTAATTTTTTATTGTTGGTCATTATAGTTGTCCCCATATTCCCTCCATTACTTTCCCTCTGCCCAATCCACTCCTACCTCCCACATGCAATTCTCCTCCTCACCTCGTTATCTTGGTCCATGGGTCCTTTGCATATGGTCCTTGAGACCCTTCCCCTTCTTTCCCTCATTACACCCACCCCTGTTTCTTCTGGTTTCTCTCAGTTTGTTTTTCGCTTTCATGTCTCTGGTTCTAATTAGTGCACTTGCTTGTTTTATTGACTAGGTTCCACTTATAGGTGAGATCATATGGTATTTGTCTTTTACCACCTGGCTTACTTCACTCAGAAGTATGTCCTCCAGTGCATCCATGCTGTAGGAAAGTGTAGGATTTCATTCCTTCTTTCTTTCTGTTGCATAGTCATCCATTGTGTAAATGTACCAGTTTTTTGTTTTTTGTTTTTGCATTCATTTACTGGTGGACACTTAGGCTTTTCCAATCTTGGCTATTATAAATTGTGCTACTATAATCATTGGGGTATGCACAGGTTCTTTTGAATTGGTGTTTCAGGATTCTTAGGGTATAGTCCCAGTAGTGGAATTGCTGGGTCAAAAGGCAGTTCCATTTTTAGTTTTCTGAGGAAATTCCATACTATTTTCCACTGTGGCTGCATCAGTCTGCATATCCACCAACACTGTACTAGGATTCCCTTTTGTCTAAAACCTCACAAGCACTTCCTGTTTGTTGATTTGGTTATGAAGGCCATTCTGACCAGTGTGAAGTGGTATCCCATTGTGGTTTTAATTTGCATCCTTTTGAACATTTTAAATATTTCATTTAAAAATAATCACATACCAACAGACTGATTTTGTAGTATAGTTCTGTAAATTTTGATTTTAACATGTTATGTGGATTATGTAAGCATCACATGATGAAGATAGAGAATAGTTTCATTGCTAATAATATTGTCTTTTGCTGTCATTTTGTAATCACACACTCGCCTACTCCACATTGGTCTGTTGTTTTATGTTTTAGCCTGTTTTAGAATGTCATATGAATGGAACAATAGAATACATAATCTTTTGAGATGTCGGTTTCGTGGTCTGAGAGAATGCATGCCTGAGCCCCATCTCTTCCACCACTGGTAGTTTTTTCTATGCTTGGTGGTTTAAACTTTCAAGTATTTTATATGCATAGTTCATTATTTCAAATGTTTGTGTTGTTATTGATGAAGATTCACTCTCCCAGTATTAATAGTGATTTACTCATTATTTGGCTTTTCTAGCATGTGGCATTGAATGTCACATTCAACAATACTTTGTTGCACTAGCAATGGCTTTCTAGAGCGAATTGCATCATTAGGGTGGATGTCATCTGATATCAAGGCTTCTATTTGTCACCACACACAAATATAACTCAAAATGCATCAAAGATCTAAATATAAGACCTGAAAAAGTGCATTACGTGGAAGAAAACATAGATACTATACATATGGACCTTGGTCTTAAAGAGGACCTTATGAATTTGATCTGAAAGGCAAGGGAAGTAAAAGGGAAAATAAATGAATCAGACTAGAACAAATTGAAAACCTTCTGTACAGCAAGAAACACAGTAAACAAAATAAAAACACAACCAACCAAATGGGAGAAGATGTTTGCAAACAACTTCTCCAGTAAGAGGTTAAAATTGAAAATATATAAAGAACATATATGACTCAACAACAACATCAACTATAAAATGGTCAGAGGACCTGAAAAGACACTTGTTCCCCAAAAATATGCAAATGGTGAACAGATACATGAAATGTGACATAACTTTACTAGCTGTAGGAGAAACGCAAATTAAAACTGTGATGAGGGTCTACCTTACAGCTGTTAGGCTGGCTATCATCATTTAAAGAGCAATAACAAGTGTTGAAGATAGTTGCCAGAGAAGATGATGGTTGGGAAATGGGGTGTGAAATGTGAAGGGATTAAAAGTACAAATTGGTATTTATAAAATAGACACTAGGATGTATGGTATAGCATGTGGATAATAGAGTAAAACATATTGTAACAACTATGTATGGTGCCAGGTGGGTACTGAAAATATCAGGGGGCACATTTGTAAAGTGTGTGGTTGTGTAATCACTATGCTGTACACCTGAAGTTAACATAAACTAATACTGAAAAAATAAAATTTAAAAATGAGATAGTTAAACCTTGAAAAAGTTTGGTTGGGTGACACTCTCAGCTGGTACTCAGAGAAGGCTGATGTGACCCACCGCAACTGGTTGCACCAGGAAACCCTGTTTCCTGTTCTGGGGCAGCAGCAGCACACAGCCCAGCATTTCTTCTCTTCCTGTTAGAGTCACCCTACCTTGCAGAGCCCTGAAACTGAAGAAGAACAAGGTGTTTTTCATCTGTTGGAAGAACTTGAAAATGCTGCTCTCCAGCCTTCTGGAGGTGGTCCTGGCTTCACTGTGGCTAGGTAGGCATGCCCAGTGGGAATAGGTCTCCTCTGTGACCTAAGGGTTGGGGGTCCAGGCAGTATTTTATAAGTTCCCCTGGATGGAGATGTAGCAGTACGGGAAAAAGAATTTTTTCCTATATTATTTATCCCCAAACCTTCTGATTTTTTCCCCTTCAGGATCCAGTATTGCCCAGAGTGTAACTCAAAACCAACCAGCAATGTCAGTGCAGGAGAAGAAAGCTGTGACCCTGGACTGCTCATATGACACCAGGGATACAACTTACAGCCTCTTCTGGTACAAGCAGCTGAGCAGTGGGGCAATGATTTTCCTTATTCGTCAGGACTCCTATAACCAGAAAAATGCCACAGAAGGTCGCTACTCATTGAATTTTCAGAAACTAAGCCATTCCATCAACCTTGTCATCTCACCTTCACAGCTGGAGGACTCTGCAGTGTATTTCTGTGCCCTGGGTGAGCCCACAGTGAGAGGTGTGTAGGAAGGAGGTGAACCAAAACCCCAGGGCTCTCCTTGATGCATCTACCTGCTGTAGGGACCAAGGCCAGGAATTGTCAGCACAGTCAGGAAGTGGCCAGAGCTGTGGTAGCACAGGTGTAGGATGATTGAGGGAAAGCACTCTATGAAAATACCTCTCTAGGTCCATAAATCATGTGTACAATTATTATTAACCAAAAATATCTATATGTTGAGAAATTGGGTCAAAGTTGTTTACTGAAGACAAAAAGCAACCAAAACAAACAATTTGCTGTTTTGTAACATATTGAGCTAGGAGAATTAACTAAGAAAATTCAGAAACATCTAAATCTAAAAATTAGTAAAAGTCTGTGGTATTGTGAGGTTTTCAGATCAATTTGTTCAATAGATATTTATTGAGTATATTTATGACACAGGCACTGTCAGAAGAGGAAGGCTGTGAAATCTTTCTGTGGCTTTACTGTTTTTGTATGTTATGCTGTTTTATACTGTTTAATGAGTTAGTTTAACTTGGATTTGTTAGCTGAGTTAAGATACCCTCCTTGAATTTCTAAGGTGCCTACAATATGACAAACTTTGTGTTTTTACCATCTTACTAACACACTAACATGGAATAACATATTTCTTCTATGTAGATTTACCTGCAGTAAATCCCACCAGTCTCACTCAGAAATGAGCAATAATTGGTGGCTCTAGGAGGACATTGTGAAGAAGCAAAGTGTGAACTATCTTTTTCTACTCTTGCCCTTCAATTCACCACTCTTCTAGAAGCATTTTTGCCATTCTGTGGCTCATTTTCACAGCACCATGCCCTCTTTTTCCTCTTTTTTCAATGTTCCACAATCCAAAATCCTCATTTTCTAATATTTCCTCCACTTACCTCTAACCCCATTGTCTCAGTGCCTTAAAATTTGAATGATCATGGATGTTTAATAAATGATCTTGTATTGTAAACTCCATCTTATATTTGTGTTTGGAAAGCAGACGTGATTAGTAAAAATTCTGAAAATGAGTGTTTTAAGATTTTTGAATGTTCTTAAAATTTTTCCATTCTAACATAAAGTTTTACATTTTAGGTTTACAATTGAGTGGTATTAAACATGTTTACTTTGTTGCTCAAGAAGCACCACAGTCTCATCTAATGAAGTGTATTCATGTTGAAAAACTGAAAATTTGCACTCCTTAAACAATAACATTCCATTTCTTCATCCCTTCAGCCTCTGGCAACTACTATTTCAGTCATCATTCTTGAGTTTGAGTATTTTAGATACCTCATGAAAGTGGGATCCAGCAATATTGGTCACATTGTAACTTATTTCACCTACCATAATGTCCTGCTGGTTCACCCATGTTGAAGCCTATGTCAGAATTTCTTTCCTTTTTAAACTTAAAAAATATACCAGTGTACATGTATGCCACATTTTGTTTATCCATTGATCTGTTGACAGACATTTGTGTTGCTTCCACATTTTGGTGGGAAAATGTATATAAATATATCAATATTTTGAGTATAAACCTTAATTCTTTCCATTTTTGAGTATTCTCTCAGAAGCAGAATTGCTGAATCATAGAGCAATCCTTTAAAAAATTTTGAGAACAACTTTATACTGGTTAATTTGAAGAACCGTGGTCTAGACTGCTTTATCATCACAAGCACGTTTTAAAGAACAGAGAAAGAAAGTGATTACCAGCCATGAATGAAGTTTCAGTTTCCTGGTGACTCACAGAAGTCTGGAAAAGTTTGTCACCCTTGCTGCAGTGCACTCTTCAAGTCACATGACTAATAATTAGTCTAAAAGGAATGGTCAGGACACTACCACATGGTCTGCTCTTGAAAAGCCATTTGAGTCCTTCATGTTTCCCTCTCCCTTTTTTTGAAAAAAAGAAAATCCTGCAATTATTTATTTTTATTAGTTTCATTTGCATAAATGAAGAGCCTACTGACATGGAGTCTTGATATATTTCAAAGGCTCAAGAAGTAATTTTGCTACCTTCTAGTCTTTCTATCAAATTTTCTCTGAAAATAATCAGCAGTGAAAAAACCAAGAAGCATATTTTGCTATCAGAGAGAACTGTGGTGAATGCTGGTAGCTCTGACACATGCTTTCAAGGCATTTGTGAGCTCTGTTTCATTGTGTGTTAAATGGAAAAGTAATGTCTTCTTTAATATTTGATTGTGACAATTTATCAATAATATACTCAGAGAGATTGATATTCAACAAATGATCAATTAATGAAAGTAACCTCACTAGGTACAGAAAAAGTACTTGAGAAATACAGCCTCCATTCCTCATTATGAACTTCCAGCAAATTCAGAATCAAAGGCAATTTCTCCAACTTCATGAAAGGTCTCTACAAAACCTGCAGCTAATGTCATGCTTGGTGGCAAAAGACTGAATGCTTTCCTCCTAAGATCAGGAATTTTGTCTCTCACCTCTGTATTTAGTATTGTAGTAGAGGTTCTGGCAGTGCAGTAAGGCAAGAGAAAGAAACAAAAGCATGCAGTTCAGAAAGGGAGACATAAACCTATCTTAATCCACAGATATCATGACCATCTAGTAGAAAACCTAAAGATATGTGCAAAAGTGCTACTAGAACAAGTAATTAATTTTAACAAAGCCAATAGTAAATCTATCATAAATCCAGCCATTCTACTTTCAGGTATTGACCAAAGAGAAATTATAGCATATGTTTTTTTTTAACCTTACGCACATATGTTTATGGTAGCTTTATTTGTAGCAGCCCCAAACTGGGACCAACAAAAATGTACATCAAAAGGTGAACATGTAAATAAATTGTTTTATCTCTGTGTGATGGAATAGGACTCAGCAACAAAACAGAATGAACTATTGACACTTATGAGGCCATGGTAGAATTTCAAAATATTTATGCTGACAGAAAGAGGCCAGGTAAAGGAGAACATATGATTCCATTCTTGTAAAATTATAAAATATGCAGATATCCAGGATGGCAGCACAGTAATGGGCAGCTCCGTCCTCTTGTTCACAGACCCTGACAGTACTTGCAGTCTAAACACAGAGCAGAGACTGAGTGAGAGCATATGTGTGTAAGCATATATGTGGATGAGAGCATGGGGAGTGTGCAGCAAGCGGGAAAAAACCAGACTGCCTGGCAGCCCCAGCTTTCTAAGTGGAGCCACCATCGCTGTCCAACCCAGCACTTCTGGCTGTTCAGAGTTGGGGTGGCTGTGGATTGGCTTAAGAGTCGCAAGTTATTAGGGCAGAGAGAGAAGACCTTGGAGGTGTGGCTCCAGAAACAGCATGGTGAGAGCAGGTCTGCCCAAGGCTGAAGATCTCTGGAGGGAGCAGAGTCAGCATTCCACCACTGCCCTGTGTTATAGTATAACTGCAGGGCTCTTCCCAACATCATCCAGGAAATATCCAGAGAGAAACTTTATCTAAAACTATTGGAGGCTCTGAAAGGTGGTGGCCAGACATGACCATGAGAGACCCTGTGATTTTTGGGGAGGGGAAGCATGTAGAGAACAGGCCCCCAAGGGACTGGTGCTATAGTATGGAGGCCTCATAGAAAATCTTTTAAAAGTGGAGGTAAGGTGAGACCTGAGACTCAGCAGGGACCTGGGGCTTGCAAGCCTGTGCATGTGGTTGCAATGGCTCTGCTAACTAAAATCTCAGAGGGATAGAGTGCACTGAAGGAATGGTACCCAACCCAGCACAGCTTGTGAGCAGAATGCTCTTCAGAATGGAGAATTCAGGCCAAACTTCCTGTTAGAGAGTGGCAGGCTCAGGACTAGAAGGCAGGATCTGAATGCTGGAGATTTGCTGCAGCCAGCTAGATATTCTCACACAATAGGACAGACAAGCCCAGCCCCCCTGAGGGATTACAGGGTATGCAGATCAGTGAGTCCAGGCTCTGGAGTCTCTTGCTAGGTACAGTTCCACAGCGGAAAGCAGAAAAAGCTTTGAAAGGGCCCTTTACCAGACAGTATGAGCTAACCAGTTTCTTGGGTCCTGATGTACTATACCCAACAGAGTAGAGAGAATAGGGACAGGCACAACAAGATGCTATCTTCTCTCCTGCATACCTTTTAAATATTCATTTCTTATCCTTCAATATGTCACCATGTTTTATATTATTATTTATTTCAGATCTCATGTTTTGCTCTTCCCTTCTCTTACTCCATTTTCCCTTGTTCCTTCCTCTTCTTATTTTTGTTTTAAATTCTATTTTCTCTCTTCCTATGACTTGTTTCTATTCTGCACTCTTACTGTGTCTACCCTCTCCAGCCTCCCAAAACATTTGTGGTTGTCATTAATCATCTCCTATTCTTTCTCCCATCTTAAAATTACCCTTATTTCCTCTCCATTTTTATCAGTCTTTGCTCACTGGTTGTGAATCAGGTGGTTTTGGGTGCATTTATTCAATCTTATTTCTAGATAGTCACTATTTTTGTATTTCAAATCTCAAATTCTACTGTCCACCTCTCCTACTCCATTTTGCCTTCTGCCCCTTTTTTCCCCAAATGTTAAATTTTCCCTGTCTTACCCTGGTTTTCATTCATCAATCTTAATATTCTGCCTCTGTCTATGTTCTCAAAATAACTTCTCTTTTCCATAGACATCTCTAATACTGTGGTGGATCTTTTTCTCCAATGAGGTCCATATATATATATATATACACATACATATATATGTGTATATATGTGTATATATTTCATTATTGTTTCTCTCTCCATCTATACACAAATATATAATACATTAAATATATAAAATGATATTAAATAAATATATTATTTAATTTTATATATTAGTAAATATATATTTATATTTTACATATAAATATAAATACATATATATTTCAGTTTAAATCTGATACTATACACTTCCCCTCTTTTACTCCATTCTGCCTTCCCTCTTCATTTATTATTTATGATGTGAATTTTATTTTCTTTCTCTCTTCACCTTGTCTCTATTCCCTACTCTCAATATTGCTCTTCCTGCTTCCTTCAAAAAATTACTTTTC